CCCATCCAGTGCCACCCCCTGCCATGGGCAGGGACACCTTCCACTAGCCCAGGTTGCTCCAAGCCCCGTCCAGCCTGGCCTTGGACACTTCCAGGAATCCAGGGGCAGCCACAGCTGCTCTGGGAAACCTGGGACAGCCCCTCCCCACCCTCACAGCCAACAATTCCTTCCCAATCTCCCATCTCACCCTGTCCTCTGGCACTGGGAAGCCATTCCCCATGTCCTGTCCCTCCATCCCTTATCCAAGTCCCTCTCCAGCTCTCCTGGAGCCCCTTTAGGCCCTGCAAGGGGCTCTCAGCTCTCCCTGGAGCCTTCTCCAGGGGAACCCCCCAGCTCTCCCAGCCTGGCTCCAGAGCAGAGGGGCTCCAGCCCTTGGAGCATCTCCGTGGCCTCCTCTGGACTCGCTCCCAGGGTTGAGTTTTTGGAAGGAGGTGAATACTAAAAAGTTACTACATGGTTTTGTTTGTAATATGAGTCCATTTTCATGTCCTGGATTAGCCTGTTGGGCACATTCCGTGGGGTTCAGTGATCTGAAGGGCTGTAAAACCTGAAAGTGTGGTGGGCCATCTTTTATTTTTCATGCTTTTGTCTGATCTGCAGTTAATTCTTAGCTTTCCATCAAGTGGCTGCTCCAGAACTCCAAAATCATTACCTGACAGCTCAATTCTTCATTCTTTTAATGCCTGAAAAAGAGCCATTTGCTAATGGCTCTTTTCCCCCAAGGTGCCTCTTTCATGTCCTGCTGTAGTGAGGAAATGTATGAAGAAAACTATGAAGAAATCACTGGTGGTGATGCCAAGAGGTGGCAGAGAAAAGGCTGCTGGGCCTGTTGGTGCTGAGGGATCTCAGAGGTCCATGGTTTGAGTTCACTCAGAGTTGGTCAATTGTAGTTTGTGCCTCTGATGCAGTTTTGGCACATCAGGCTGACACTGATACCTGTCACCTCGAGCTGTCCCCATGTGCTGTTCCCTCAGTCAGCAACTTTGTGGGATGATTGATCTCGGGCTGAGGTCATCTCTCAAGTTCCAGATCTTGTCAATCTGTCTGGCTCCACCCACAGGCAGTGATTCAGCTCCTGATGTGCTGAAATATTCTCTTCCCACACAGAGTAAGGGTTTTTTTGTACTTCTGCTCTGAGCTGCAGCACCTCTTCTGTGCTCTGCTCCAAGCCTGGGCTTTTTTGCATGGTATTTGCATGTGCTTGAAAAACTGTAGAAAGCAGAGTTGGAGCTCCTAAAGAGGGAGAGGAGCAGCTGCTCTAGTTCTGTGCAGTGCTGTGATTTAGGCAAATGGATAAAATATTGAGAGAAATGTGGGGAGAAGGACTTGGTGTTGGTGGATGAAAAGCTGGACGTGCTCTGGCCACATGTCCTGGCACCAAGAAACCCTCTGTGCCCTGGGCTGAGCCAGGGGAACAACATCAGAAGGATGTGGGGCTGTTGGAGCAGGTCCAGAGGAAACCACAGAGCTGCTCCAAGGGCTGCTCCCTCTGCTCTGGAGCCAGGCTGGGAGAGCTGGGGGGGTTCACCTGGAGGAGAGAAGGATCCAGGGAGAGCTGAGAGCCCCTTGCAGGGCCTAAAGGGGCTCCAGGAGAGCTGGAGAGGGACTTGGGACAAGGGATGGAGGGACAGGATAAGGGTTAATGGCTTCCCAGTGCCAGAGGGCAGGGAGAGATGGGATATTGGGAAGGAATTGTTGGCTGTGAGGGTGGGGAGGGGCTGTCCCAGGTTTCCCAGAGCAGCTGTGGCTGCCCCATCCCTGGAAGTGTCCAAGGCCAGGTTGGAGTGGGCTTGGAGCACCCTGGGCTAGTGGAAGGTGTCCCTGCCCATGGCAGGGGGGGAAACAAGATGATCTTTAAGGTCCCTTCCAACCCAAACCATTCCGAGATGATTTTGTGACAACTGCAGGGTTTTTTGGTTGGGGGCAGGGAGTTCCTTTCTCTGTGTGCAGTAATTCCCATCTTTAGGGGTTGATCTACAGAGAATGTTCTCTAGAGCAGAACAAATATTCTAGCTTGGA